ACCAAAGACTAAAGATTGACCCTGAATCCCGCCGGGCTAGAATCCGGGGCCAGAACGCCAGTCTTCGAGAACATTAAGTCAGTAATCTCGGAGTCGACCTTAGCCCCGATCGAGCTCGAAGAAACATTGTTAGCATAACCAACAGAAGACCGAAATATCCGTGACCGGTCGGATATTACGACGGGAATCTCGACACAAATCAATAAGGAACTAGCAATCAGCGAATCAAAAAATCTTTTACCTTTTATAGAATTGTACCTAAAGTAGGACTTATCTACTATATAAAGGAGGGTCTGATTATTCATTAGACATATTGTAACACGCATCCCAAAGTAATATATTATTATTCTCTTTAAGTTCTTATTATTCTCTTATTGTTCTGTTCTGATATCAATCAAAGCACTTTTGGCTCGAGGGTGGATAACTTTCCAAGGCTAAGATCGTTCAACTTGTGTGGTTAGCATTTACTTTTTTATTATTTATTTCAATTGCAATCTGATTTATCGTTTTGTATCAAGTTAGATCACGTATCCTTAAAACTACTTACAAATTCAATTGTTATCCGATTACGAGGGTAAACAATAAGGACCATTGAGCAAAAGACATACCCAAAGATACATGGATTCATATTCAAAATTCATCACTCGTGGTGAATGACTTTCAAAATGGTGTTAGATGCAAAAGTGTTTTCCTGCAAAGGATTTTAAATTATACCAAATCAAACTTTATTACTGTTCTCAAAGAAGGATAAAAAGGAAAGGGGAAAAAGAAAAGGAAAGAGAAAGGAAGAAGAATAAAAAAAGATATGGGGTAAAAGTGTAATTTGAGCTGGGGGCGGTGAGAGGGGTTTTAGCCTCTTAGGCCAACCGCAAAACATTAGCATCTAGGGTTTTACAATCTGAAGGAGAAGGAGAAGGAGAGAGTGAGAGGGAATATGGATTCTTTTTCGTCGCCGTCAAGTGGATCATCGTCGCAATTCTCGACGCATGACATCATGGACCAGGTCAAAAGTCAGCTCGCCCAGGCTTACGCTGAGCAATTTCTCGAGGTTTGATCTCATCTCTGTTCTGCTTCTGATTTCCCGGTTTAATTATATTTGCTTTTGCCGGTGCTCTCGGTTAATTGAAACTGTTATCCCGCGATTTTACCATTTTACTCAATTTGTCACTCTTTTCTGACTAACTGAGCTGGTAGTTGCTGGATAGTTACTTATCTCATCTAAGATGCCTGACTTGTTATTATCCGAAAAGCACTACCTTAATTAGCAAAATAAGATGTGGATAATTCATGGTTTATTTAAAGCCTTTTCAAGCTATAAGCTTTATTATTAGTAGGCGTTGGCTTTGCTTGGTTAGTAGGAGATTTTTATGTTCCGTGAATCTTTAAGGAAGCTTCCCACACCATTAAAAATTACAACTTTTTTTTTCTGCAATATTCAGGGTAGAGCCTTGTAAACCATCTGCAATTGTATGCTAGGAAAGACTAAAGTTCATTATAGAATAGAGATTGACGAGACAAGTTCTACTCTTGTCATGTGTTAACGTGAAATTGTTCTTGGATAGATATCCATGTTTCCATATTTTTTCAAATAACATATTCCAGTTTTCTTCAGGACTGCTAAATTGAATGGCTGTTCAATCAGAGGGGCATATTAACATTCAAAGGTTGCTGTGTACTTTTGTGAATGCACAAGATGATCCAAAATTGTGGTTTTGTAAAACTAGAAGTTCACACTTATCAACATATAAGTCCCTTACCAAGTTAAAAGGCAATTGGCATGTCCTTTTTGTTTTATTTTCTGAGTTAAGTCCTCATTGATTCCCAGTAATTGTAGATGTTTTGGATTATTTCTCTGTCATTTTAGGTTTGTCTCGTCCTGATTTAGCATCTTTACTTACTGGATTGTTGCACCTATGGACTGTTTGGAGGTTGACATGGGACATAGCAAAACCTTCTTTGGCGATCTTCTCCACCTTATGCATACTACTTAAATACTTTGTCGGATGAAACTTTTTAACTAACTTTTTCATCTCTTAACATTCTCAAAGCTTGCCTTGTATTACTATAAAAGGGAAATAGTAAATTATTCTAATACAAAGAGCGTTAAAACAAGGCCCCTTATATCTCATATCTTCTGGAATGGGTTGGAATTCTTTTGTGATAACAGATTGGTGGGCTTGATACAGATGCAATGGCTTATCACCCATCTTAGGATATATAGTTTCAGTTCGGCGATATTCGACTAATTCACTTATTCAGAATAAATAAGAAGCATAGTTGGTCAATCAATCCATTTACCTCTAGACACCTGATAATGGACTTAATTGGAAGGTGAGTGAGAAAATACAGTGGTTTGACTGCTCGATTCAATTCCCTTGCATTAACGGATAATAGAACTAGTGAGTTGTGCGTAACAATTCAGTTATTTTTCTGAATAATTGCACAAGTCTGGTAGGCTAGATTCCTTGGGACTGAGGAAGTATGAATCTATACTGTCTTGTCTTTTTAGATAATTGAGTTAATATATAATTATGACAAAATTGGTTGATAGAACTGACACTTGGTAGTTTCAGATACTTGGTCATCTGAAGGCTTCTCTTTAAAAATCTCAATGGATCAGCTGATTTTTTTCTGCTCACATCAGCTGAATGAAATGTATAAAAAATTGTCCAACTCTTGAAATCTTGAGCCATTTGTAGCCTTATGATGTTCCTTCATTATTTCAACAGAGGAAGAATAGCTTCTCAAGCTAATTTAGAGCTTGTTTGGAAAGCCACCTAGGAATTGAGTTTGTGAGTGATTGTGTGTAATTACACAATTTGACATGTTTGTCTGGCTAAGTAATTACTTGGTCAACATGGAATTGAGTGTAAATGAGGGCGTGTAATTATACTCTCTAATTCTCAAAGGGTTGGTGAGAATCAGGGGCAATTACTCTGAATAATTACAAGATGATGTAACTTTTCTAATTCTCTCTCTTTTTTTTATTTTTTGACAAGATTGGGTTGCTCTAGTGGTGAGCACCCTCCACTTCCAACCAAGAGGTTGTGAGTTCGAGTCACCCCAAGAGCAAGGTGGGGAGTTCTTGGAGGGAGGGAGTAGAGGGTCTATCGGAAACAGCCTGTCTACCTCAGGGTAGGGGTAAGGTCTGCGTACACACTACCCTCCTCAGACCCCACTAGTGGGATTATACTGGGTTGTTGTTGTTTTGTTTTTGTTTTTCATATATATTTTAGTACTATTTTCTTTATATTTCATTTTTCTTATGAGTTTTCCAATGTGTTGCTTATGGTGTTTTCATATAATTTTGCAACTTCTCATATTTTTCTTCTTTTTTCTTATTTTTCTTTTGTTATTCTTAGTTGCTAAACATAATTTCATATTTTACTAGCTTTGATTTCTAGTCATTAGTATAAATATTTATTAAGAAAAAATAACTTCTAAACTCATATCTATCTTTTTGTTATTTAAAGGTGCAGCAATTTATAACTATTTAATATATCTTTCCTGGGAATTTTTTATTTTAAATACCTCATATATTTGATATTTATTATTTGCATATATGTTTGTCACACATACACAGTAAAATTTATCTACATTTTAATCTGGAAAAAAAGTTTATTTAATTATGTAATTACACTTGTCCAATCAAACATGACTATGAAAATTACTCTGTAATTACGTTCTGGCAAGCGAAATTATAATTATTATACAGTGTAATTATCAGGTTGTGTAAATACTACCACAATAATTACACCGCCAAGTTACACATGGCTTTCCAAACCAACCTTAGTGACACCATGAGGGATTAGTATTTGTCTTAAGGAGAATCTGAAATTGGTCAGTCAATTCATTCAACATGCTCTTATTTTGTTGCTCTCTAATCTCTTATCACATATTTACCCCAGCCTGTTTGCTGTGTTATTCCGTTTTCACTGCCCAGTTATTGTTTAGTCACTGCCATTTATTCGGTGAGGTCCAGTGCGTTAGACTATGGATGGCACCTCAATATCTGACATATTAATTTGTTTCAACTTAGTGCTTGGAACTGTGTATGGCACTAATTTAAAGGCTTGCCTGTGGTCATGGTGTGGATAATGTTCTGCTTGCCAGTGATTGATCTGCATTTTTTCGTCGTGGTTTTGCTTCAGATCTAAATGTTGGTACCTTGATTCTGCGAATGCATCATATAAGATTTGTAAAATTTTATGAACTGTTTGAAACATCGTTTGGAGAAGTAGATTGAGTTAACTTTGCTGTTATTCTATAAGATGCTGCAAATTGTGATGTATGCGACACATGTTTTGGGTGACTTCAGTTCAAATGCCATACCAGTCTGTTTGCAGAAGATTTATTTTAACCCTTTTTCACTTATTTCAGACGGTGAGGGAGAAATGCTTTGACAAGTGCATCACCAAACCAGGGAGTAGTCTAAGTGGGAGCGAAAGTAGTTGTGTCTCCAGGTGTGTTGATCGATATATCGAGGCCACTGGTATAATCAGCAAAGCTCTCTTCAGTCAACGCTGAAACTGTTGGCTTGCTAGCTCGGGAAATGGCGGAATGCATCTCTTTAATCATTTTAAACTTTTGATACCCTTTCTCATTTCTCTAACATTTTTAAAGATGATATTCGATGAGCATTTTGTAAAAGCTGATACTCGGTGAACTTTTGTCCCTTGTGAATGGGCAGCACAAACCGTTATCTAGAGTATACTTGCCAAAAAACTGTTCCAAGTCCTATTGATTGAGATATACTGGTTGTCTATTTAGGACCACAGGGGCAATGTCTCCCGAGAGGCCCTGGAATCCGACTAACTAAATACAACACTGCTTTATCGTCATATTTTTATTCAGCATAAGATGTTAGTAATATTTTTGGAAATGGTTAGGATCGAGATATCTTGTGGATCAATTGGGTTTTATGGACTTCAACCTTACTAATTATCGAGATGGACTTTTGCAAGTTCGGTTTCTAAGGAAAAGCAGAAAATGACAGGACATAGATGCAACCGAAGATTGAACATAATAGACCAGCCCCAGCAAGAAGTACAAACATTGGTTAATGTCCCAAATGGAATTATAGCGAATGTGTTAATTCCGTAATTATATATTAACCTCCCTTTCCCACCAAATTGTCAAAAACAAACATAAAAAAAATATGAAAAGAAAAACACAACAATCTAGCTGCCGCAGAGGATGATCCTGAGCAAATTGCCACGGTAGCTAAATCATTTCAATGACTTCCAACAGACTCACTTTCAATAATACCAATTAAAACTTTGGCAGAATGCTCCATAAAACATCCAATTACTTTCTCAGTGTTTGTAATATGTATTCAGCATAAAGGTCCCTGCATGAAAGTAACAATACAAATGTTAAAATCTTTTAAACACAAAACATTGGCTCAAATTATTATATTTTAAACATATGTATGCACATCCCAATTCAGCATAAAAGAGTCAAAAGCAGACGTCACTGAGATTAGTAAAAACTAAAAACCATGTTTAAACATCATATCTAGATCATACATGGAGTACTGGATGGCGTCGACAGCAGTACTTGGAGGCAGGAACTCGTTAACAGCAACCTCCTTGTTCTCAAGCTTCTTATCTAGTGACAGTTAAGAAAATTATACTTGTAGAAAGTTTGCTAGAAAATTCATAAGAGGAGCAAATTAAAAGATGGAGAGGATACAGTCTTCAAAAAAGCGGCGGATTTCTGCCAGGCGGTGAGGGGGAAGCTGGTTTATATCAGTGTAGTGGCGATACTCTGGATCATCAGCGCACACGGCAATTATTTTATCATCCTTCTCACCCTGGATTGATGAAGAAATTTTGTCATTCCTTTATTATTAGGACTTGATAATAAAGGTCCAACCTGAGATATAAAATAATAGGAACCTGATCAATCATAGGCATCAGACCTATGGCCCTAGCTCGAAGGAAACAACCTGGGAGGACAGGCTCCTGTTGAAAAAAAAACAATTTCAATTCAATTAGTATGTAGAAGCTTCTTTGTTGTGGATTAGATTGGACAAAAATACAGTCACAACACTATACTGTTTTATATTTTGTATGGAAAGGCATTCATCTCTCACTGGCCTACCTGCATTAGGACTAGTACATCCATGGGGTCATTATCTTCACATAATGTCCGAGGAATGAAGCCATAGTTCTGGGGGTACACCATTGATGAGTATAGGACACGATCAACCTGAATATAGACGGTAGAAGGGAGATTGGCTATGAGTCTCTTTGAAACAAAACAAGAATGGCAAGGTAATAAGGCCATTAACCATGTAAATACAGCCTATTGGCAAGGGGTCTAATAAGCACAGCATTGCTTAATTCTACCTTATAGGTTGGATCATTGTATCATACCTTAATGAGACCAGTTTTCTTGTCAAGCTCGTATTTGACTTTACTACCTTTTGTAATCTCAATGACCTGTAAGAATGAAGCTGGTAAACCACAGGACAAGAGTTTGAATAACAAAGAGAACAATATTGCCATTTTTCTTTTACTCTGCTATGTTGTTCCCAACAATCTGATCTCATTTCCCATTTCCCCTTTACCCCCACCATAGTCAACAAGCACAAAAAAGGAAAAGAAGGATTAGATAAGAAGCTAGTATCATTTTTATTGGCAGATGGCAACAATCAGGGTTACAATTGGAGAAATTACGAACATGATCATTTTGCAGCTTTCCATGATAAAATCGGAACACAGAATCTACACCTCTAAATAGAAAATAGTTTTCCTATGCTGAAGAGGAAATACATATAGGTGCAAATTTTCTTCTAGGTAATTGCAGTTATTCAGACATCACTTGAGCTAACATTTCGTGCTTATATATCAACAACTATACTTACAACATTGAAAACCTTTGGAGCTTCAGGTCCTGCATAACACAAAAGGAATGATCAGATGTATGTGATAGTGAAATTAGTGAAGAATGAAAGAGATCGAGTAGGGATGAGAAAGCTACCAATCTCAAGATCGTGCCAAGGGTGAGCAGCAACAGACCTCCTGGACAATGATGAGAGGATCCTCTCATTCAAGCGAGGGGCGCGTCTATGTTGGGATACCTGATCATCACTCATTTTTACCTGATAAACTTGAAATTAAAGAAAAAGTCAAATATGGGCAACTAGTACATGATCTGTATTAATTCACTAGAATGATATAAGATGATGGAGGAGAAATCACTCCACAAATAACTAAAATCGATCCTAAACATAAAAGATATAGCAGCTATGGAAATAGAAGGGGATTTGGTAAAAAAGAAAATGAAGAAGTTCGTAAATGCATGTAACAAATAGAAAGTAGAGGGGAAATAATGATGAGAGCAAGCAATGTTACGTACCTTGGATTGAAGGAAGGAAGAAAACAAATAAAGAATGAGAGAGTCGAATTAATGATCTCTTCTTTGGGTGCTAATCTCTGTATATATAGCGCATGCAGCTCCCCTATAAGGTGAAACAAGACAGCTTTCCACGCGGGGCGGGGAGAAAATTAGACCGATTCCTTTTCCTCTTAAAACTTCAATATTTAAGGCCCTCCTTTTCCTTCTGCCTTTCCTTCTTCATAAACATGCATTAATTTGTTGAATTTTCTAATTCACCTACCCATTTTTGAAGCCATCAGAACCTGCAAACTAAAATAGAAAAGGAAAAAGAAAAAAAGAACCTTGCAAATACTTGCCCGAACCCGAGTGTTTACACCAAATCATGCCCGATTAACTATGACATTCACAATTTAAAGTGCGGATGCATATCACCTAATCATATATAGTTAAGTAAAATATAGATTATATACAAGACTAATATCATGCATTCATTTGCTTGGTGATTTTTTTACCATTTCTTAGTTCCCATACTAGTCATAGTAATTTAGGGTTCATTTTGATATTTGAGATTAAAAAGGAAAAAAGATGGCATCTAAAGCATTAGTACATGATCTTTTAAATAAATCAAAGTGCATGATGACCGTCACACCTCTGTATACCACATCTTAGATGTCTTCTATTTTCGTAATTGCAATCACGTCCCAGATTAGTTGAGTAGTGCTTAGGCTCGTTTCGAACGCGTAGACAGCGGTAGAGATACCCCCCCTTGAATTCCTCTTCTTTGTTTGTTCCCAATTTCATTTCCAGCCAGACATGTTGACTTTTAGGCACTCATCTTTCTATTTCTTACAATCTACTATTTTATAGTAGTTCTTACAATGTAGACAGGATAACTCTAAAACATATATCTATACTATTAATAAAGTTTCGACCTGTCAATGACATGGAACAACGTTTACCATTGCCAAACAGAAAGTCCTTGTTTGACCCTTTTAACCGGTCCGATCTGGCTTTGCTTTGTATATTACTCCACTATTGTGTAGCTATCTATTTCTGCACTAAAACTTCAAAAATCAAAGGTTATATTGCTATATTCATAATTCTCCAATATATTAGGTTGTGATGTCCTATTTACAAAATATTACAACAACGTGAAATTTTTAACAACTTACATTTAAAGCTACAAGTCATAAACATTATGACATACGCACAAATGAATATACCACGATTTGTCTTCTCTTTTTGAAGAATGTATTAGCTTTCTTATTAGTAAACGTTTTGTGCCGTCCTCTCTTGGTCCCCGTCTACAATAGCTGAAACATGATATATGGTGTAGTTGATGGAATTTTCAATCGCTGTTTAGTTTGTAGCATTGCAAATGTTTATGATTAAAACATTTTGTAAAGTAATACTCCTGCACTTAAGCTTAAAAGTGACAAAAGCAAGATGTGCCCTCAACTCAACTTCACCAGTCTACTGATGAATAGTGAGAATGTTATTGCCCAGGTACTTGGGGAGGGACACAATTAAATTTCTCAGTCAGCACTTCAGAGAGTGTCTAGGCATTCATCATATATTCAAAAGAAATTAAGGAATGAAAGATCAAGAGAGAGTATTGAAACAAATGGAAAACTGACTATCCAATAGCAAAGCGACACACCCCTGGCTGACAAAGACTTTAAGCTTTCCACTGCCATTCTGGAGGTAAGCTACTTCTCTTCCAATTGCTTCTAATCAATACAAGGCTAATGTGATTGACACTGGTGCTCAAAGAACCGGGAAAAATTACATGGTAATAGAAAAAGGCAAAACTAATATATAAGTTCTTTCTTTTTAGGTTCAAGAACCGGAGGGTCAATGTCAATTCCCATATTTGCTGCAGTGCCAGCTATAATCCTCATTGCAGATTCAATTGTAGAACAATTAAGATCTGGCAACTTCTCTTGAGCAATTGTCTTCAATTGATCAATAGTTATTTTCCCCACTTTCTCTCTCTGTGGGTCCTTTGAACCTTTTTCCACTCCTACAAAGTTACAAAGATATTAGTCTATTAGTGTCCCCACAGATTTACATCTTTCATAACTAACCAAAAATCTCAGAGTCCAAACTTTTGTATGCAGCCACACAAGATAACATTTAGGCTATAACAAACAGGGTACTCTTCAAGATCGAGTAAGTATGCAAGGACAAGTTCACATTTACAATATGTACTACTTTGAGTGGACACCTGACTTCCACATAGTGGGATTGCATTCTTAGGATTCCCAATGGAGTAGGTTAATTCAGCAATGATGTTGTCAATCCTATAACCAAATGTTTAAATCTACTGCCTGATTTGGTTGATCATAGAACTATAAGTAGAGAACCGCAGCCAAAACATAATAATTTTCGACGGGTCTGTAATTCTCCAACCAGAGAGAGAGAGAGAGAGAGTCACAGTTTTTCTAATTCAGATTTCAATTTTTTTTTCCTTTCCTCCCCCAACCATCTAGCAGAGCAACATGGGAAACCAAAGAAGAGAGTTTGCCATCTGGTATATAATTAAACCTACATGTCTATATCCTACTATAAAAACCAAAATACTATGGAAGGAAGGAAAATCATGGGATAGTATATCAAGTTGTAGTCTTCGAGGGCGTCTTTTGTTTACAAAGTGCACAGTGAGGCATTTACCTGTTATCGACCAACACTTGTTCAAATACCCGAATCAAGCTAAGATCATGGGGTAGTATATTGAGTTGACTTCAAGGGAGTCTTTTGTTTAGAAAGTGCACAGGAGGTGTTTAACCGTTTCCAGCCAATTATATCCCTTCATCTTCCTTGCTGTCATAAAATCCCATGCCTGTAGACTAGACTTTTTCTAATAGTAATCTTCAGACTTACAGTCTATAGTCTATTGAGCTAAAGCAGATTTTACGAGTTTCATGATCTCGAATTAGAATCAAATATTTCAATTGAAGTTGAGGACAACAAGCAAGGGTGTGGTAGTAATACGCCAGGATCTAAGTTGCTCGGACTCTTCACTTTCAGTGCCACACCCGTGTCGACACGACGTGGGTGTGGGTATGGGTGTGGGATCCGTGTCGGATCTGGTCAACCGATTTTGGGTACTTTGACCAAAATCAACGGAGAAATTTGGGATAGATACAATGATTTTTGAAAACAAATCAAAAGCTAGGGTGATATGGAAGAAAATGGAATACCTTGTATATATAAATTTCTATGTCAGTCCTTTTCCTTTTATCTCCTAAAATTCTACTCATGTTCAATATTTTCTCCTTATCGGAATACCTTGTAAGTTTTTCACATAATGTCTCATAATTTAGACATATTTTTATAACTCTATTTTTAAATAATTGAATTATTTTTAGCCGAATCCCCGCACCCGTATCCGTACCTGGATCCGTACCCCCGAATCTTTAAATTTAGATCATGAAGGATCTAACCTCTAGATCCGCACCCGTATCGGACACCCGCACCCGAGTCCGAGCAACTTAGGCCAGGATATGATGGCCTCATCCAAAACTAGCTTGAAATGACACTTAATATTGCACATTGATTCGGCACCAGAGTAGCCACCTCGACTAACCGCGAAGTCCTTGAGCATATTATCTCTGATAATAAGACTTTGAAGGACATATGTCAAGACTATTTGGCGGCACTTATCAGCAGATCAAGTGATCAACTGTCCATGCTCATTCTTCTGTCCTTTCTTACTGTCTTCACTAGGTTGACGACAACGTTCCTATAAGTGGCGAAGCCAAGAAATTCAATAAGGATGTTAAAATTTTGAGCATCCTGCAAGGGTGTTCAAAGTCTATTTTTTAATCAATAACAAGTAATATTTTACCTTATACGTAGTATAATTTTTCGGCGAAAGGTGTTCAGTTGACCACCCTTGGGCCAACATAGCTTCGCCCCCGGTTCCTATGTGGCTATATCCGTGTGCAAGCTAAACGGAATTCATCTCTTCCACTAACTCCAAACGAAAAGTGGAGAATCTTTTAGGTATCCTGACTTCCCTCTAAACTAAACCTTAGTAGTGAAGCATGTGGAGTTAAAGTGTTAAATCGCCAAAATTAAAGTAGTTGAGGCTGAAAATGAATTCAATGAAATATCTGCAGCGAGTTATGAGAATTCAAAATGGTGAAACAATTAGCAGAAAGCATCTATCAGATGGGATGGAAGGGTTCCTCAGTAGTTGATGCAATCACATTATAGGACAATGTCTGAGTAAATTATAGTATATTAGAGGAGTTGGAAGCAGCAAAGTGAGGATACCTGCAGCCTTGAGCAGCAAAACAGAAGCAGGTGGGGTCTTCAAGATAAAAGTGAAGCTTCTATCCTGCAAAACATGAACACCATAATCAGATACAAACGTTAAAAGGGATCATCTTTAATTCTCAAAAATTATGTTCGCTGCCCCATATATATAGACATTAAAAAATAGAGATTATGAAGGGAAAGTAACAGACATCATAGACAGTGATTTCGACGGGAATGACATAACCAGCTTTATCAGCAGTTCTGGCATTGTAATCCTTACAGAAGGCCATAATGTTAACACCCTTGGAACCCAAGGCCGGCCCCACAGGTGGAGCCGGTGTTGCCTTCCCTGCCTCCAGAGCCAGCTTTATAATACCAGTCACTGCCAAAATATTCAATAAAATTCAGTAAAGATTGAATTTTTCTTTTTCCTTATGATAAGTAGCAACAATTTGGCAAGACCCAAATCTAAACAAAAGGAGTGGCAATAGGAAAGTAAATAGTGGAGTACCTTTCTTGGCTTTACCACCACCAGGCTTAGGGGGAGCCATGGAAATGACAGTGAGAGGCCTTGGAGTGGAAGGAAGGGAACAAGTGTGTTTGTTGTGCGTTTGAAGGAACTGAACGGAGACGCGTTGAAATGAAGACAAATTGAGGGATGAAGGTGAAAACGAGGAAGAGAGTTTCCCTGAATTATTACAAATTGATAAAGACGCCATTTCTAACCAAGAATTTGGAACAGAAGAAGAAATGAGAAACGAGAGAGAGAAGTGGATAACACTGCTTAGCAGTGGTACCTTCTCCTATCTGTAACCAGATTCCTATTTGGGCCTCTGTGCTAATCCTACAGTTGGGCCGGGTGTTGTTTAGAGTCAACGGCCCACCCTTGAATTATTTGTTATGTGAAATGCCTGTGAACGACGTATAGACGAGGTGACGAGCGTCTATACGTCGTCAAATTAATTGTTTGCATAATTATTTGAAAATTCTAAATTTGTTTTAATAGACGAACTAATTGTTATGATTATTGTTTCTCTCATATTCTTTGTCAAATATAAATTCTGAAATTTCTACAATAATTGTTACATGCTACTTGAATTGTGTGTCTTAATTGTTAGGGGTGTACATGGACCGGGTTGGTTCGGTTTTGATAAAAACCGAACCAAACCAACTATATCGGTTTGGATTGGTTCGGTTTTATCGGGTTTTCGGGTTTTTTTTTTGTTATGTGAATATTAATTCAATTTTACTTTGATAAATTTTTTATAAGTAAATATCATTTAATAAAAAAAATTTAAAAAATGATAAATATATGATCTATTAAAACATTCTTATGGAAGAATTTTCTTAGTAACACATGATAGTTATTTTTTAGCCATCTAACAATAATTTTACGTTGATGTACACTTTCAAGATTAACCAAATTTAATAATTAAACATAAAAATAAATATGAACCTATAAAATGATTGTTCTCTTTAATTTTAAATTATCGAATACCATTTCAAACTCAAAAAAGATATAAGAATTTAATAGGTCTTGACATATAAATATGGAAGAACAAAGAGATTGACGTATTTCACTAACACTTGATAAAAAAGTGATCATATAATCAATTATTTAAAGTTAATAAATATGGAGCACTTCATATTTAACTAAATATTACTTCCTATAAGAGAATCACAAATATTTCTAGACATATTTTTAAAGAAAATTCTATAAAAAGTTTTAAAAGTATATATAAAAATTATATATTTATATGTCGGTTTGGTTCGTTTTTTTTTTTAAATTATAAAAATTATATACTTATATATATAAATTATATAACTAAAAGTTTTAAAAGTACATAAAAATATTTCTAGACATTTATATGTCGATTTGGTTCGTTTATAAAAAGTCTAAATATTGTCAAAGATTAAATACAAGATGCTTGTTCTTCTTCGTGCATAATAAGGGAAGTTTTAGTCCCCTTTTACTATTATATTTTAAAAAATTACTACATTGGGAGANATATATATATATATATATATGCATTATTAAAGACAAGGTACTCAAAAACGGAGTTAGCCTCAACTCCTACGAAAATTATTGTTTCTTTCTATAAAATTTGCACCCTTTATGACGAGTGACGCGTTAATTGAACTGACTAGTTGTCCAACTTAAAGTATTTGTGCAGCACCCCAACTACTATATCATCCTTCACTGTTTACTGTTATAGTCTGTACTTACTCTTTTGGTATGATTGAAGCTACATATTTTGGTATATTATGTGTTTAGATAATCAATTCTATCATCCAGTCAGTCCTTCCCATTGTTACAAAAAGAAAAAAATAATTTATTACGTAGGATCGAGAAGATATTTTTATGTTTCTTTCCTCTGTCTCTTTCTTGTTTGTTAGAGTTTCATGAGTGGCAGAATAAAAATTAGTAGTAATAATAACAATAATTGAAAATAAAAACAGAGGGAAAATGGTTCTTTTAACTTAGTCTTTTATTAAGAAAAATAAGGGCCGGTAACATTATATTTATAAGAACGAAGCTCAATGGACCCAAAAGCAATTAAGAGCAGATTGTCGTCATTCTTCCACTATTAGGCTACGAATAAATTGGCACATAATGCTGTAAAGCAAGACAAACGTCATCTCAGGATAAAGATGAGGATCTATTGATGCTTATTGTTTTTTCTTCTTTTTCTTGAATAGGCGGTAATCCTCTATAATTTCATTCGTGTGCTTTTCATTCAGAAAGTTGTTGAATGACCATATGCGCAAAAGACATTATTTACCCCACATTTCAGCTTATTGTTTTTCTTCTTCTTCGTGAATAGGCGGTAATCCTCTGTAATTCCATTCGTGTGCTTTCCATTCAGGAAGTTGTTGAATGACCATCTACGCAAAAGACATTATTTACCCCACATTTCAGATCGCATTAACCCAATATAATTATATTAAGTATGGAAATATATATCCATAATTAGTCCATACCATGCCTCTAGAATCGGGTTTACCAACAATTGCCTGGCAAGCTAGCCTCCAATTCTTTGGATGCTGAAAAATATAACAAATTAATGTAGAATATTATATACTGTAATAAAGTAGTTATAATTGCTCAAGAAATGAAGATTCATACCCGTTTTAATTCATCGTGATTGTTCTCCTTGTCAGTACGAGGGTTCAGTAGCTCCTTTCCTTCAACAACCTAATTGTTAATACATGCACCGTAAAATACTTTGTAGGTAATCTGGGATAGGGACATAATCAAAGTTTAAAAAAAGTATGCCAATAATTAATAAAACGTCTACGACTCTATGAGATGTATGTATATGGCTCACCTCAACTAAACATGTCCCACAAGTTCCTCCTCCCCCACAATTAAGCAAAGGCCTCGCCTTAGAACACAGGCACCATTATACATTTAGAAGAGGAAATTAAGTTGGTAATTAAAGCAAGAAGAGAAAGAAAAAAGAACGGAATTAATGATGAACACATATTTATACATGTACGTACATAAGGTCCATACAACTCCACATTAGCATCCAACATTATGTCTCTAAGTTTTTGACCACCACAAGCTTTGCGGAGCTGCACGTCTGGTGTCCCATCTGGTAGTAATACTGACTGAACAAAGAATACATATTAATTATTACTAGTATATATGCATTCATTACCAACAGAAACACAAGTCCTACTTAGTAGCACTCACGCTGACAAATGCAAATTTCACAGAAGCCTCTTCTTCATCTTCCTGGAGTGCTCCAATACTTGCCTTTTCTGGAACAGTACCAACTGCTCTGATTTTCGTTCTACCAAAACTCAGGCTCGGAGAAGCTACCTTTTTGTTTTTGAAAATAGACGATCGAGATACGGAAGCTAAGGAGGCAGAGGAGTATATTTCAATTGCCTTCATTTTCTAATAATATTGATATTGAAAATAAAGGAGGAGTTGCACTTTTCCAGATACACTATGCTCTAGTGGTAGATTCATAAATCCCAATGGATAGGGAACGCATGTGTATTTTCTTTTTTATGTAAAATGTTGCGGGTGACTCTCCTTTTCTTATCCGTTGGTGAACTATGGGTCTGAAGGCTGCAGCATGGAAAGCCCAAATAGGCCCAGATTTGGACTTCAAACCTCCTAAGCCCAACTAGAAGGCTGCCACGGGATACCCATTCAAAGTTTAAGAAAGGGAAAAGGGCCAAATATACCCCTCTACTTTGATATATTGTTCATATTTATCCTCCGTTATACTATCGGGTCAAATATACCCTCACTGTTAGTAAAGTTTTCAAATTTACCCTCTAATCTAACGGAAAGCCCCAAAATCCCAAATTCCTTCTATTTACTATAATTTTTTCTCACAAATTACTTAACCCTACGTGTGCTCTACCTGAGAAAAAAATATCTTCGACAAGTTGATTTCTTGTTCCATTTGATTATTTAGAGCAGGAAGACTTAACAAACTCGCCCCCTCCAGGCATGAGAACAATAATAAATATTCCTTTGAAAGAATGTTCTGAAGCTTGACATAAATTTAAACAGTCATTTAATTTAGGATTTCTCAGACAATACTAAAGAATCATATGTCACAAATTTCATGCAGGGGTGCTTGCGCAAGCAAAATTTGCATCAAATGACATGCTAAATCCAAATCCGAAAGGGAATGCATTTATATGGATACCTACGGCCTTGTTATGCATGTAGTCCATAAAGAATAGTAAATATTAGTATAACTTCACAAGCGAATGCATTTCGACCACCAGAAGAATCAAATAAATCTCTTCCAAATTATCTACGGTATTTCACTCATCCTCGTTCCGTTGGAGACATACCCATAAACTGTCAATTTTGCCTTCCATTTATGATTTGAGCATAACAAAAGACGGGGGGAATAATTATGATATAACTCCACACTTCCATTTCTATAATATGGACCTTTTTTCTTCTCTGGTGGATCACACGAAGGAGATGACTGATTTGTAAAGAAGAATTGCAATAAATAGAAGGGTTTGGGGCTTTCCGTTAGGTTAGAGGGTAAATTTGAAACTTTGCTAACTGCGAGGGTAGATTTGACCCGATAGTATAACGGAGGATAAATGTGAACAATATATCAAAGTAGAGAGATATATTTGGCAATTTCCCCATTAAGAAATGACGTAGGAGTCCAGAAATTCCAAATTCAACATGTTGGTTTTATTTGATTTGTCCTTCTATAAGCTCGATCGGGTTTCTAGAAGCTATGTTACATAATCCAATCATCCAATATACTCCTACTAGTAGGCATAGTATCTTCGGCCAGTGCAATGAAGGATGAATCACACACTCTTTAAACTACTATTTCTTTTCCTAATTATTACCATCATTTCTCTGGTCACTTTAATCGTCCAGCAAACGAGAAAAGAACACCTAATAAAGACGACATTAACAAAGCAACTTAGAGGGATTTAGTGGATGTCAATTTTTGCTAATTATTAAGTTGTTCTGTGTAAAACAGAGTAATTACAACTTTTCCAATAATAATTATTGGTATTCACCGTTATAAAAAATTTTATCATCGTTTCCATTGCATAAAAGAATATAATTTTAAATAGAATGTTTCGAGTCTTTTGCTTAGTAATAGTAATTTTCCCTCCGTTTCAATTTATGTGTACATATTTTCTTTTTAATCCGTGTAAAAAAGAATAACCTATTTCCTTATTTGGAAACAATTTACCTTTATGCAATGATTTATAACCACACAAAATATGTATGCCTCATTTTACACCACAAGTTCAAAAGTTTTTTCTCTTTTCTTAAACTTTGTGCCCACTCAAATGAATTCAAATAAATTGAAACGGAGAGAGTAATTATTTTAAACAATAATTGCCAAACAATATACACGATACTTTTTCCTATAAATTTTTTGTTGTTAAAATGTATACAAATATTTGTGGACTTACATATATTCTCCTCATCATGTTTAGACTCTTAACTATTTTCATTTCGTTTTTTAATAATCTAATAAAGTGAAACCAGGACATTCAAATTATATTTTCCATTTTGTTTATTTAGTAACTAATTAGATAGTCAACAACATTTTTTTAATCGTGTTCTTCTGTATTTCTCCTTGTTTATTTCCTTTAAGTTTAGAAATGAGTTTCTTCAATCAGAATGTAATGACATATCGTTAGAAGAAAATTAATAGCCGATATCTTCGTCCTACTATTGGTAGTATTACTCTGTTATCTCAAAACTAACACATGTACTAGTTTAATTTAAACTCTATATGTTTTGTAATTGCACATTCACATTTCCTGTATGATTCGTGGCACAGTCATGGCCACTTCATTTTCACACACAAAGTATTATTTGCTCAACAAAATTATATGGGACGCGCTTGTAAGATTTTCACCACATTACCCTTACCTGTTTTTTTCACACAAAAAAAAAATGTAAAACTAAAAGCACTTCATTTTTATATTTAAAGCTCATGTCGTTTGCTGTATTTGACATATAAACATGTGTATGTGAACTACGTATTTAAATAGTTCAAATCGTAGTTTAAGTTTGGGGTTTCACTCAAAATGATTCATGTTTATAAAACCCTATACAAACTACGTAATTTTTTGTAATTTTTTGTGTATATAATATTTCTTGTTAATTTATTTGAATTTTATGTTTGTTAATTTTTAAATTAAAATAAAAGTGTAACACATTAAAATGCTGAGAGATAGATAATTTAATTATTTACTATTCAATATTTTAGATGCCGTATAGGAATATCGAAGACCAATTGTTATACTTACTGCTCACATTATATGAAGTAATAAGGAACATTTCCAGTGCCAGCTTTATAATACCAGTCACTGTCAAAATATTCAGAAAAGATTGAATTTTTGTTTTCCTTATCAGAATTTGGCAAGACTTAAATCTAAACAAGCAAAACAAAAATAAGTAGTACCTTTCTTGGCTTTACCACCACCAGGCTTAGGGGGAGCCATGGAAATGACAGTGAGAGGCCTTGGAGTGGAAGGAAGGGAACAAGTGTGTTTGTTGTGCGTTTGAAGGAACTGAACGGAGACGCGTTGAAATGAAGACAAATTGAGGGATGAAGGTGAAAACGAGGAAGAGAGTTTCCCTGAATTATTACAAATTGATAAAGACGCCATTTCTAACCAAGAATTTGGAACAGAAGAAGAAATGAGAAACGAGAGAGAGAAGTGGATAACACTGCTTGGCAGTGGTACCTTCTCCTATCTGTAACCAGATTCCTATTTGGGCCTCTATGCTAACTTCCTACAGTTGGGCCGGGTGTTGTTTAGAGTCCAACGGCCCACCCTTGAATTATTTGTTATGTGAAATGCGTGTGAACGACGTATAGACGAGGTGACGAGCGTCTATACATCGTCAAATTAATTGTTTGGATAATTATTTGAAAATCCTAAATTTGTTTTAATACACGAACTAATTGTTATGATAATTTTTCTCTCATATTCTTTGTCAAATATAAATTCTGAAATTCCTACAATAATTGTTACATGCTACTTGAATTATGTGTCTTAATTGTTACTTGACATTTAGCATATTAAATATTAAATTACTTATTTTCTCCACGATTTTCATAATTAATTTCTAATTGCCATTATTTGTTCATAAATAAATTATAATTATTGTGTACCTTGATGCTTAATAGTTTCTCATTGGACGTGGTATTTATTGGAGTAATTTTTATTACATTTATGAGTTGTTTAAAGTTATATGGGGGGAACGGGTTGCATGCCGCAACGGAAATGAAAGTAAATATATGAATATTGGGGGATCGGATTGTACGCCTCAACAGACTTATTTAAAAGTCTATATTGGGGGATCGGAATTCATGCCGCAACAGACTTATTTAAAAGTCTATATTGGAGGATCGGATTGCACGCCGCAATATACTTATTTAAAAGTCTATATATATACTTGATTAAAATAAATATATTGGAGGGTTCAAAATGAATATATTGTGGGAACGGGTTGCACGCTGCAACGGAAATTGGTTGAAAGAATAATTAGTTATGACTGCTGGGTTGGCTTCAACTATTAAAAATCAATTACCTGATTTATTTCTATTATTGTTGTTGTTAATATTATTGCGTACAGGTTAATGTGAGTGACATGCCTTAGCCTCGTCACTACTTCGTCGAGGTTAGGCTCAGCACTTACCAGTACATGGAGTCGGTTGTACTGATACTATACTCTGCACTTCTTGTGCAGATTTCGGAGTTGGTCCCAATGGCGTACCATAGACTTGCTCAGATTTCAGCTACCCATAGGAGACTTGAGGTATAACTGCACGGCGTCCGCAGTTCTGAAGTCCCCGTCTACTTTACTTTAGCTGTGTATTTATTTTCAGATAACTTTATTTTATTCAGACCTTTATTTGTATTATTCTAGAAGCTCGTGCACTTGTGACACCAAATTCTGGGATGGTATTTAGACACCGTTATTTTATGGATTATTCACTACATTTCAGAATTTACTTTCGCATTTAATTCTTTATTATTAATAAATTTAAAAATTATTTTAAAATGGATAATATTATTCTAACGTTGGCTTGCCTAGCAAGTGAAATGTTAGGCGCCATTACAGTCCCGAAGGTGGGAATTTCGGGTCGTGACAAACACGTTTTAACATCCTAGAAATCTCTACTACTTGCTCAAATGGAATGTCAGTCTGCAACTCTCTATCCATAAATATTTTAAAATCATAATTGAACCCTTCAATGAATATGCAAACTCGCCCTCTAACTGTAGGAACCAAGATAGGTGCATGACGGGCTAACTCACTGAACCTAATATCATATTCTGACATCGTCATGGTGCCCTGACGCAACCGTTCAAACTCTGTGCGCCACGCATCCTAGAGTTAGGGGAACAAATTCTTTCAAAAATATTTCCAAAAATTGAGTTTAAGTTGGTAGTGTTGCATCAACTGGTCTATCCTCTTTATAAACTTGCCACCATTGATACGCTGCTCCTGACAACTGAAATGTAGTAAAGAAAATTCCGCACACTTCTACAATACCCATGGTACGGAGAATACAGTGGCACTTTTCTAGAAATCCCTGGGCATCCCCGGCAGCTGTGCCACTAAAGTAGGTTAACTATATCTCTTAAACCTTTCAAGCCACTTTTGTTCTTCTTCTAATGCCTCTGGCATGACCTCAGACATGACCGGAATAACAGGTTGTATCGGCACCACACCTAGAACCTAACCAATGTAGACATGCTGCTTTGGAGTACGGGCGGTAGGAGTATGAGCTCCTCCCCCAATCTGTGAAATATTTGGTTCAATGGAGATCAACCCTGCTTGAGTTAATGTACCAAACATGTTCAGGAACTGTGCTAAAGTCTCCTGAAGTCCGAGGGTAACAACAGATGCCTCCGGTACCTGTTCCCTAACCGGAGCTATTGGCGTCTCCTCAGTTGTTACTCTGACAGGTGCTCTAGCTGCGACACGTGCCCTTCCTCGGCCTCTATCTCGGTTTCTACCTAGGCCCCAGCCTCTTGCGGCTCTAGCAGTATGTACGGGTGTTTGCTCAGCTGACTCGGTAGCACGTGTCCTCACATTTGTGAGAGAATAGAGATACAAATGCTCAAATTCCAAAATCAACAAATTCAGCACGACAGGAATGAAAGAAGTAAAAATTTCCTAACAGTGCTGTAGCCTCTCGAATATAAGTACAGACGTCTCCGTACCGATCCGCAAGACTCTACTAGACTCGGTCGTGACTCGTAGAACCTATGAACCTAGAGCTCTGATACCAACTTGTCACGATCCAAAATCCCACCACATACGTCGTGATGGCACTTAGTCTCTAAGACTAAGTAAGCCGATTATAATTACAATTCAAGCCAATTTATTTTCTTTAAATAGATAATCGAACCCAACAACGAAAATAATTATAAATGACCTCCCAAGACTGGTAATACTGAGTCACGAACGGTAACTGAATATATGAAATGATCTCAAGGATCGAATACTTAATACTGTTTGATTAATAATTAACAGTACCATAAAATAGAAAGACTCCAAGGGACTGTGACGACCAAACAACTCTATCTTGAATCCTTGCGATCACACTCTAACTTTGTCCTAGTCCGATATCTCCAATACCTAGATCTGCACAAAAATGTGCAGAAGTGTAGTATGAGTACACCACAGTTAGTACCCATTAAGTATCAAGACTAACCTCAGTGGAGTAGTGACGAGGTACAGTCAAGACACTCACTAGTCTAATAACCTGTGCAATATAGTATACAAAAATAATAAGAAATAAATAACAATGATGGAAACACTAATCAACCAGTGATATACACAGCAGGGCAACAAAAACACCATTAATGTTGCTCAACAAATAATGAGTACAAGTACAACCAATTAATCAAGTCCTTCAAATATAAATCATTCGCCTATATGCTTTTCAAATAATAATCTTCAGGATATAATAATTTCCAATAAATATATTTCGAATATATTCCCTTCAAATAAATATCTTTCAAATATAATTCTTTCAAATAAATCTCTTTCAAATATAATTCCTTCAAATAAATATCTTCAAATATACTTCTTTCAAATAAATCTCTTTCAAATATAATTCCTTCAAATAAATCTCTTTAAAATATAATTCTTTCAAATAAATCTCTTTCAAACACAATTCTTTTAAATAAATATCTTTCTAATATAATTCTTTCAAATAAATTTCTTTCAAATAAATATCTTTCGAAAATAATTCTTTCAAGTAAAAGTCACTATGTGACACCTCATTTAACTTTCCTGGTGTGAGAAACAATTAAACATATTAGTACAATTTAATAAGGGAGAACGGTTTATGATTTAGAAAGGAAGGACAGGATTTTTGCAATAATAGCCCGTGTACGTACTCGTCACCTCACGTACACGGCACCCACACATCAATTTATATCAAACATCTTAAGGGTAAAGTCCCCAACACAAGGTTAGGCAAGCCACTTACCTCGAACCAAGCTCAATCATTCGGTCACAATGCCTTTCCCACGAATATCCGGCTCCGAATGACCCAAATCTAGCAAAAAGCAATTACATATCATAAATACAACCATGATAGACTCATCTAATTAATGAAATCAACAGTTTAACAAGAATTCCGAAATTAACTCAAAAATCGCCTGTGGGGCCCACATCTCGGAATTGGGTAACGGTCACACAATACGAACACCCATTCACTCACGAGTCTAACCATATAAAAATTTCTCAAATCCGACCACAAATCCCCTTTCAAAACTCGAAATCTTTGTTGACGGAGTTCTTCCAAATTTTTCCCAAATTTAACCCCAAAATCCGAAATTAAATGATGAAATCAACCATAGATTAGTGGAATATAACTATAAAGGAGTTAAGAATCATTACCCAAAAACTTCCTCCGAAAATCTCTCCAAATTTTGCCTTCTACCGAGCTCTCAATCAAATTTTTGTGTTATGAACTCAACCCTCGTTTTAGAACCTTAAAGTCTGCCCAGGTGCATTCTTCTTCGCGAACGCGACATCACGATCGCGAATGCGATGAACAATCTTCCACTGGCCCAAAATTCCTCCTTCGCGAACGCGAGGGTACTCTCGCGAATGCATACCTTCCACTGACGGACCCCTTCGCGAACGCGGGAACCCCTTCGCGAATGTGTAGGCTTAATGCCCGAAGCTTTCTCTGCCCCGTTCCTTTACGCGAACGCGAGGACCATATCGCGAACACGTAGGCTTAAGGTCCCACACCTTCGCGAACGCGGGAACAACATCGCGAACGCGAAGAACAAATTAGCTTCCTTCCCTAGATGCTCTACGCGATCACGAGGCACCTCTTGCGAACGCGATGAAGAATTTTTCTGCAATAAAACACCAGAAATCTGCTACTTCTCTAAGTCTAAAAATGACCCGTTGAGCATCCAAACACACCCGAGGCCCCCGGGATCTCGACCAAACATACCAACCAATCCTAAAACACCATACGAACTTAGTCGAGCTCTCAAATCACATCAAACAATGCTAAAATCACGAATCACCCTCCAATTCAATCTTAAAGAACTTGAAACTTCAAAATTCTAAAACCGATGTCGAAACCTATCAAATCACATCCGATTGACCTCAAATTTTGCGCACAAGTCACAATCCATATTATGGACCTACTCCAACTTTTGAAATCGGAAAACGACCCCGATATCAAAAATTCCACTACCG